GGAAAAACTCATGCAGTCTGAAATCTGAATATATCATACCTAAAAGCTTGTTGACCCCTAGGCAAGTTTTAGCAACATCATATACTTGCATTTAAGAAAAGAAAACAAAAATAAAGGAACGTCTACCACTTGCATATGAATTATCTTGTGGTCCAAATTTATTGTCATATAAGACGTCAAAATATCTTTCTGCTTAGCTTTGAGAAAGCAAATGTCTTTTCAGAAAGATAGTGGCTAGCTGGTGTTATTGGTGCTACAAGACAATAATGATACTACTGAAACTAGTGGATTGTATATAATGGATTGTTTATTAATTTCATTAATTTTGGTATTTTTTATAACTTCTACAACTATTATATTTGTTTTAGTTAAATGAAATGGCTCTTTATTAAATAATATGTGGAAACAATTTTCATGAAGTTAGCTAGATCTAGTGGACACATAAAGAGAAGAGACCTTATGTCAAGTAGTACTTGAAATACGTCTAAATTCTAATACATATTGTCAAATACTACTTGGAAATTTACTTTTTAAAAAAAAAAAAAAAAAAAAAAAAAAAAAACCTACTTGGACATGCACGTTGTTTGCTCTGTTTTTTTTTTTTTTTTTCTTCGAAGGAAATATAATTACTTTATAAATTTTTGTTTGGCCGTTGTAGTTTATGTTTTCATTTCAGAGGGACACCAAAAGTCATTAATAATTTTGATGGGAAAAAAAATTTCGTGTACAATAAATTTAATTATATGCATATTTTTCAAGAAATATACATGTATTTGTGAATATAAATACAAAATTAATTATATACATGTATTTGTGAATATAAATACATTTATCCTTATATTCCCACCAATATTCTATTAGCAAAAAAAAAAAAAAAAAAAATTAATGTATTGATCAATTTACAGGTAAAACTAAAAAGCGTATCGTGTTTAAAACTTTGGATTGCTGGTCAATCACCAATAAGGAATACATAGTTCATCATGAATATAATAATAAATGATAATTAAATAGCTATAAGCAAGTAATTTAATAGAGTAAATAGCTTTCTGTTTTAAACGTACTTCACAGATTAAAAGTGCAGGAACGACAAATGGAACCAGAGCGTGCACAATGCATACATCTATACGTAACCACATGTATAATAATACATTAATTATACATAACATGATATAAAAGGTCGTGATCAGTATCTAGTTTGACCAATGTGAAAGTCTCAATTTTTTTATTGATTTTTTTTTTTTTGAAATGAAACTGTTGAACTGGTTAGCAATTCTAGAAATTTAAAACTTTTTTTATTTTTATAATTGTTATCCTTTAAAATGTTTTCTTTTATGATTTTATGATACTAAGTAAATTTAGGAATAACTTCTGCTTCGGATCCCGAACTAAGTTTTTTAGTCTTATTTTAACTTTTAATCTTTAAGAGAAATTGCTGCACTTAATCTTAAAGTACATGAGTTTAAATATTATTTAAATTACCTTTCATTAAATAAGTATATGTGTGTCACATAATTGGTTTTGTAGAGTTGTTAATGGTTTTAGGACAAAAAGATCAGACATGGAACAAATAGTATAGTTTAAGGTATAATTTATAACGTTTTAAAGTTTTGGTATCAAAATGTTACAAAGAGAAAGCCGAAATTATTAACCTTAAATAAAGTTCCAACTGCCTAAAACAAAATTTAACATTTAATTTTATACAACTTAAATTATACATGTATCTTATACCAAACAAATTAATATGATTTGATTTGATTTGATGAAACCACCTACAGTATGTTAAATTTTTTATTCAATTACAATTAGTGGTTTTTCTTTTCGAAACCAACCAAACATTATTTATGAACGCTTGATTTAAATCCATCTGTTTTGAACGAAAAAATGAAAAAGAAAAAGAAAAAGAATCAGTCTGAACATGAAAGTTCTACTGCTAGCTTAAGAGATTTGACGAGAAAGAGAAAGTGAATGAATGATATTACCAACTTCTATTAAAGAGGAATATTACAATATATATACACAAATCACGTTTAATACGAAAAGGAATAAATAAATATTCTACCTCTGGTTTCCTAAAATACAAACAGATAACTACAATCAAATAGATATATTTACATTCCCTTAATGCACAACTTTATTATGATTGACTTTTCTTATTACTAGCTAATTAGCTTGATTTCATTACCGCTTGCGGTGCCCAATACTATTTATTAATAAAATGTGAGTTTTGCACCGTAGGATTAAGCGGTGGAGATTCACTTTCTATTAGTAGTGGTGTTTAATACAGGTGGTGTCAGAAGATTTTTCTTATCACTTATATACGTTGATTACTTCATACTTCAGAATGAAGGAAAACTGTTTGAGTGTAGTTATCCAAAACCCATCCATGGAATTCTTGGGCAATCCTCTATGTTAGTGGCTGTTGGTGAGACTCACAAGAGGCTTAGAAATGCTGCACTTTCCCTTGTCAACATCACCAAATCCAAGCCTGAGTTTCTTTGTGACATTGAGAAACCAGCCATTAGTATTCTTCACTCCTGGAAAGATAAACCACAAGTTTTCTTCTCTGAGGAAGCTAGAAAGGTATCAATCTTTAGTGATCATAATTTATTTATTTATTTTGTGCAGAGTAAGTTTATATATGATTAACTTAATTTTGCCTGCAGTTCACATTCAATGTAATAGTAAAGCAGGTGGTTGGCTTAACCCAGAGGACCACACACAACAAGAATTCTTGAAGATTTCCTCACTTTCATGAGAGGCCTTATTTCTCTTCCTCTTTATATTCCTGTAAACTCCTTATGCAAGAGCTGTTAAAGTTTTATTATTGTTTTTATTATTATTATTATTATTATTATTATTATTATTATTATAAAAAATATATTATAATAATTACGAATAATTATTTAAATTATAACACGAATTCTTGCTTTTTTAAGTACTAATCGGTCATTAATGAGGCTCTTAGATATGGAAATATTGTAAAATTTGTGCTCCGAAAGGCTCTAAAAGATGTCAGATTCAGAGGTACGTGAAATTAATATTGTAGGCCTGTCTTGACAACATCAGACCGCATGAACCTTCTTTTTCTTTATCCCTTTTTTTTTTTTTTTTTTTCATTTTTTACGGTGTACTGTTTAGTACTTTTACCACCTGCACGTATAATAAAGTAGAATTCTTAATTCACTTTTTTTTTTTTTTTCTGTACTCTGTTTTCAGAATATCAAATTCCATCTGGGTGGAAGGTCCTACCCATATTTAGTGCAGTTCACTTTCATCCCTGGAGATGGTAGGTAATAATCTCATTACTGAGAATAAAGATGTTATTTTTTTATCATCTTCTATGCAAAAACCCAATAAATGAACAAATATGCTGTTTTATTTTGTGCTCTAAATAAATTTTATATATACCTTTTGCCATCAATTTTTAACAGGCCACGTTATCTCTAGTGGGGGCAGAAGCCCCCCCTCACATTTTTTGTTCTTTTAAAAATTTGCCAATAATCTTGTTATTTTAACAAATAGCCACCACAAGAAACCCTTCAAATCTTCAAATACTTTAATTAGCCCCCAAAAAATTGAAGAAAATTTCAAATTTACCTCTACTCAAATCAACATAAATTTACTTAAATTAAATATAACCCCTCTAAAATTAAAAAAAAAAATTCAATTTCTTTCAATAAAATATTTTAAAATACTTAATCCCCCACTAAATAAAAATCTTGCCTCTGTCACTGATTTTTAATTTTAAAATTTGTAAAAGTAAACTTTAAGTTTTTAGATAATTTAAAAATACCTTAAATGAAAAGGTCAACGCATCAACTAACAACAATCAAATGTTAAAGTTTGACATATATTTTATTTAGTGTCTAACTTAATACCAAATATGACATATGTTAAATTTAGCAACAAATAAACAAATAGTATTGTATTAGAAAATGATTTTTCTAAACGCCAAGATTGGCATTGGCACATTAATTTGTTCTTACATGAATAAACTAATTTGGGAAATGACTATAACTTTCCACAAATGAATTACAAACACAGAGCCAAGATCCAATGTGCAAGAGATTTACTCCCTTTGGTGGGGGGGTCTAGATGCTGTCCGGGGTCTGAACTTGCTAAGATTGAAGTGGCATTCTTCCTTCACCGCCTTGTGCAAACTTTCAGGTAATTTCATATTAGAAACATTAAAAAAAAAAAAAAAAAGATCTTGTTTTCTGTGATAGAACTTCAAGTACTGGTTAATCAAAGTAGAGGGGCCCCCAAAAAAAAAAGAAAGAAAGATTATTTTCTGTGATAGAACATTATGTGCCAAATTCATACTCAGAAAAATGTGGTACACTTTTGCCTTTTTAGGTGAACTGAGGATGGTGAACTACCTACAGCTTATCCATACGTGGAATTTCAGAAGGGGTTGGTTTTGCATCTGGAGTGTTTCTCATAGTTTGAACATTAACAGGTCCTTTCCAAGCTCTAATTTGGTTGTTTGAGGTGGGGTAAAGATGATATGAATTTGTCTGTTTAAAGCTGAGGAAAGGGTATATTTGATGCTGCCAAAAATCACCAAAGCAGCTTCTGATTGCACTTTTTCTTCCAAACCCCACACTCAGAGTCTAAGGGTCAGAAATGGGCAACTTCTTTTGCAGAATAGCAGGCCTTTCGAATCCATAACAGAGATATATTTCAACTGCTATGATGATCTGTATACCTTTTTTCTTGTAAAGGTTTTTATATTTTTTAATTAGTTGTTTTAACATAATACTCAAAATTTGCATATAGACATAGAGTCGTATATGTCTATATGCAAAATCATTATATATGATTCCAAAACCCCAACATGTTAAGCTTCCATGAATTCAAATTCCAGAGCTATAGGCTGTTTCACAGCAGTGTTCTTATTTTTATTTATTTTTTTGTTTTTATGTCTAGCTAATGACTTTTAATATTATCTCACAGGCTCTATCTTCCATTGGTGTATAATGAGCACAATGGAACAAATGTACATACGTCTCTTTATTTAGAGACAATTGACAATATTGGGCAAAATACAATGAAGAAAGGAAACTATTGCTAAATATTAGCAACCAACCTTTTTCCCCCTTTTACAAATTATTATTCTTGATTTGAATCAGCCTAAAAGTAGGCATATTGCTCTTGGCGACTTGGAATTAGCAGCAAAAAATGCATGCTTTTCTAGGCTGCCTTGACCACAATAGGACTTCTCACATAGTGCGTACCATCTGACCAAATCAATTTTCCAAATGCATAATCCTTGGCTGCTTTTGGATTTTTGGCCTTGAGGGTGAGTGTGAAACTTTTCTCTTCACCAACCCTCTTGAACTTCAAGCTCTTTGGCTCAACAGAAACTGAAATCCCAGCTTGGTTTTCAACTCGAGCTCTATAAGTTCCTGGAGTGCCAACATTCTTCAAGGTTCGAGTAACCGCGATTGAACCGGAGAGTTTTGGGACGGTGATTGAAGGGTAGTTGAGGTTGGTTAGACTGATTTTCTTGGAGCATTTGTATGGTTTCTCTGAAAACATTTCAATTTGTGTAGCGTTGTATCGGAGTGCACATAAAAAGTTGAGGTAGTCATTGAAAGATAAGTCATAAACTAGCCCGGGATCCATGGCACCGTTGGGATTTACGTGTCCTGCCCCATAACTGAAAGGTGTGGCCTTGAAGTTAGAAGAATTTAGCAGTGGCTCCATTTGGTTATCCCTCGTTCTAGCTGCAAAAAGAGTAGAAGATATAAACCTCAGAAAGCATATTTTAATAGAACATATTTTTCCTTGGAAGGCTGAGAAATCTCAAGTGATATATAACATGCAAGGATGAAGCCAGAGATCCCCTCACCGGTGGTCATAATTGCCGACTTAATAGCTGCAGGACTCCAATCCGGATGGAGGGTTTTAAGGAGGCCAACAATGCCTGAAACGTGTGGACATGACATTGACGTTCCTGATATCGAGTTGAACGAAATTCGCCGCTTATCAAACTCTTCGTTCGTTGGCCCTTGTGCTTCAGTGTAGGCTGCTATGATACTGACTCCTGGTGCAGTAATATCAGGCTGCAAACACAGCCAAAGTTACTGATTGTTCTAAATGAAATGACCGAATATTTAGTTGTCCCTTTTCTTTCATCCACAGATGTTTCTATTTGAGACTTTTACTTAAGACATACATAGTTTTGGGTATGAAAAAACAAAAGTGTGCTGCAAATCAAACCTTGAGGATTTCAGGCGTGACGGTATTCGGCCCTTTTGATGAAAAAGCTGCCATGAATGGAGCTGGCTTGGTTCCCAATTTTGTTGTTGCAGGTGTAATGTAGCCCTTTGGAGACCTGTCAAAGACATTGCTATTTTACTTATCTTATAAAGCTGATTGAAAAAATTGCAATTATAATGTTGCCTGTGAGATGAAGGCTAAACTTGACAAAAATAATTTTTTTTTAAAAAAATAAGAGACGTTATGGGGCTGTTTAACATTACTTTTGTTTATGCTCTTGGCCAGTAAAAGAAGAGAAGCAAAAACTATGACATATTTTTTAAAGAGCTTCGGAATAAAATATTGGAGTTTCTTAAGAAACGACATTTTGTAGCTTTGATGGTAATCTCTTCTGGAAGGTCAAAGCTCTTGTGAAAGGTCGTCCAAACACCCTTAAAAGCGGTATATTGATGTACTCTTGACCTTAAACAACCAACTTAAAAATAAACCATCATTTCTACATGTCACACATGACTTTTTATCAAAATTATTGAGTGAAGAGTGGCTCTAGGAAGCCGTGTTTGTGGTCTAAGTAGCTTTGATATCATTGGTTTAATATCTTACTTAGTGGAGTTGATGTAAGTAAAGACATTGATGCCGTCATTGTAATTGATATGTGAAGCAGGAAGGACATGAGGATCAGCAATAATTTCGTTTCCAGTAAGCTCATTGTTGGCAAGAATCATCCCAACAGCACCTGCTTCTAAGGCTTGTTGGCCCTTGTCCACTCTTGCATTTTGACCTCTAAGGCACACCAATATCTTCCCCGTCACCTTTTTGGGGTCAAGTGTTGCAGGCTTGCATAACAGACTGCATTATTCAGCCATACTAAGAGCTTAGTTTTCTTTGGCAAACACATTAAATACATAGCGAAATTATTGCTTTGTTATTTGATAATTTCGACCTTATTAGATTGGTACCTATGTGTTCTGATGATCCAATTGAGGCGTACTCTTTAGTTCAAAGAAATGTTATCCCTTACCTTAAGGTACTTTTTTTGACGTCATTTTTGCCATTTCAGTCTAAAAATATAAGGGGAAAAAGAAAGAAACATGCAGGGGAGAACTTTTTTTCACCATTTTATTTTGAATATTATATGTTTTTTTAATGCATTTTTATGCTGAAAAGGCATAGAGTAAACTTCATGTCTTAAAAATGGCCCACAGAAGCGATTTTTTTTTTTTTTTTGAGCTATCAGTACCCCAATAAGATTATCAGAATATAGGAGGTACCAATTTGATAAAGTTGAAAACTATAGGACACCAGGATGATTATTCTCCTTAAATGTATATCAATAATTATGAAGAAGTTGAAATTGTTCGGTTCTTACGCGTCTGCAGCCGATGCATTAGCTGCCTTAGCATCTAGAGCACTCACAAGTGGATAGAATTTGCCAATTTGCAAGGCTTTAGCTGATAAGCTTTGTCCCTGCAGATCACAAAACATAACAAATTCATTAGTCATCTTCACATGTGCTTCTTCAAGGGCCATATTTGAATGAAGTAAAAATTTCCAAAATGGAAAATATGCTTCTAAACTAGTGCATAGTGCGTCATGTCTGTGACACTGTGTGTTGGTAAGCAATCACACTCTCATCTTTCTTTTCTAAGAAGCAACTTAAGTTTTCCCAACAGCCACAAGAAAGCAAAAAAGCTTGAGCTGGATTTCCCCTAGTGAAAGGGACGTATACCAACCTTGAAGCTCTTCTTATTGCCAAGGATGACATAACTTGGAAACTCCCTATCCATAGTGCTTGCACCGACGGTGATTTCCCACGGCGCGACATTGGACACGGTGGCATCAGCGGGGCCAGAGTTCCCTCCCGAGCAGACCACAACAATGCCATGCTTGATGGCATGGAACGATCCAATTGCAACGCTGTCATTGAAGAATGGTGCGGGGGATCCTCCAAGTGACACCGACAAAACGTCCACGCCATCATGGATGGCTATGTCAAATGCAGCCAAGATGTCTGCATCAAAGCACTCGTTACCATCAATTGGTGGCCAGCAGACTTTGTAGGCTGCAACTCTTGCCCTTGGTGATCCTCCTTTGGCTGTTCCATTGCCAAAGCCAAAGACATTTGCTGCAGGGACAAAGTTGCCGCTGGCAGTTGATAAGGTGTGAGAGCCATGGCCTTCATTGTCTCTTGGTGAGTCAAAAGTGGAGTTGAGTGGGCCAGCAGCTGCACCATAGCCTTTGTTGAAGTATCTTGCTCCAATTAGCTTCCTTTTTCATCAGACAACATTCATGAATTTGTTACCAATACAAGTGACTACTTTTTTTCGGCAAAAGAAGAGAAAGTATCTGGAGCAAATTTTACTACATCCCAACAAAGTTTGCACCTACTAAAATTTTGTCACGCAATAATAAAGATAAAATTTGCTGCTGAGTTTAATACAAATTTACTAAATGATTGGGAATATGATAACAAATATTTTTGAGCGTTTTATGTTGGAAATAACTCAAGATCTTATCTTATAATTAAGCCTATGCGCTCTTTAACATAAGATTATACCAGAATTAAACCATATATAAATTTAATGTGATCTAATAAAAATCTGAAATTTCATGAATATTTAATACCAGAAAGATAATTTGTCTATACAATAGATTTCTCCAGATTTCAAAAAGTCTAGTTAAAATTTAGCCAAAAGGGTGTCCATTACGTCAATAAGAAAAACAAAGTTGAATGATAAACTGCAGAATTAGATTCTTATTGCAGGCAACAACATGTGGACAGCAGGCTTCATTTTACTATAGAATATGCAAGTTAAAACTGCAGATTGTGCATCGTAAAAGACAACAACATGTGGTCAAATACTCTTTTTTTATTGAAACCTCTGTTTCTCTGCAGACTTTAATGGACTGAGAGAGAACTAGGAGTTTTGCCCTCTCAAAGTTGAAAACAATTTACAACTGGTTAGAGAAACAGAAACAAGATGGGGGTACAATGTCAACTCCAAAACAGAAACAAGATGGGGGTACAATGTCAACTCCAGAATGATGGAGACTCAGAAAAACCAAACCCTTTTTGAAGAAATCTGTCACTCATGTTTGTATCTTAACTTTGTCTACTTGTGCAATATAGTGTAAAAATGAATAGAAACAATATCAGCTTCATAATTATCTATTGTGAAGATCACAAGACATGTTAAGACAAAAGATACTTGATTTAAGAAAATTGTAAATTATTGTTTCTGATGTTTTTTGGGAATAGAAAGATGATGAAAAAGTTGTGATGACAGTATTGCTAATTTGCATAGGTCTCTTTGTTAACACAAGAATATCGTCAACTTTATAGGGAATTTTTTTTTTTAAAAGTAATAGGACAACTGGATTTACTGGGAATAATGTTAAAATGAAATGAACAATTTCAGTAATGAATTTTAAGTGATGGACAGTGAATTATAAAACACAAGGTATGAGGTTTGCTTTATTGGTAGATAGTTTAATTCATGGTTTTTTTTTTTGGGGGGGGGGGGGGGTTATTTCTGAAAGGAAAGAAGTACTCCTTTAAATGGTTCTCTGGCAGTTTCTGAACTTGAAACAAGTTCTACCATGGCTATGTGGTCAAAAGAGTCCAAGTGAAAGTACTTTAAACGTCATGCTTCAAGATATCAAAAGCAAAATTGAATATTCATCTTGGAATGGCTATTATTCCAATTGGACTGTCCTCAAATTTGGACAAGATTTGCCATAATGGAAGGGAAGAGAAAACAAAATTTGCCTTCTTGAGAAACTAGTTTGGACAAGGTTTGTCATGATGGAAGGGGAAGAAAATAAAATAAAATAAATTCCTTCTTGCGAATCAAAACTACACTCAAGTACACTTTAGCAGTGGTCAAGCATTCTTGTGTCTGGCATCTCTATTCAACTTTTCAACATTAGTAAGGCCCGTTCATTTCGTTGATTCGAGTTTAGAATTCGAGTTTTTCTACAGTAAAAAGCTCTCATAAACAATCACATTTAACTTTTTTACTACAGTAAAAAACTCTCACATAAAGTCACATCTCAACTTAAATTCTAAACTCGAATCAACGAAGTGAACGAGGCCGTTATTACCTAAATTTATATTAAAAAAAAAATCAATAAAGTGTTGCAAAATATCCTCAATCGATGATGGCTTTGAAAATTTTAAACGGAATTATTGTCTTTCTACAGTTTACGTGAGTGTGTTTAAAGGAGAAGATTGAAATTTTAAATGATACTCGGAGCTCGTCATGAAACATTTACGAATGCATTTATTTAAATACTAATTAACACCATTCATCAATTTTGAGATACTCTGCAACATTTTATTAGATTTAAGGATAATTTGACATAATTAAAAGTTTAGGAAAGAACTTGTGAACTCAATAAAAACTATGGGTACATTTGGAATTAATTTTAAAATGATTTCATTTTCAATAAAAAGTAAAAATGAGATTGTTTTGAGAATCATTTTGGGACCAATTCTGAAATTGTATTTGGTTAGTTTTTTTAGAGATTATTTTGAGTATAATAAAAAAATAAAATCGTATTTATTAATTAATATATTATAATATTATTGAAGTACTAAAAAATGAAAACAGAAAATAAAAATAACTTTCAACCGTTTTTTAATTACTTCACAAAAATCATTTTCACTATTTTCACTTTTATTTCGTTTTTAAAATATTTACAAAATTTCTCGAAATACGTACAATTAACCGTTTTAAAAAACGGTTCTAAACACGCACTATAAAACTTTCATTCTTTATGGGCATAACTTTTTCAACCCAACAAAAGAGACATCAAAATGGAATAAAAAAGGTGTTGTGGATAAAGAGAATTAGTGAAAATACTTCATACCTATTGCAATGAAATGAGGAATCAAGGCCTTTTTGGCAGATTCCTTTCCACTTTGGTGGAATTGGTCCCAACTCTTCATCACTAAAGCTCTTGGATTCAGGCCATACACCTAACAAACACCCAAAAAAAAAAAAAAAATCTAATTGTGACACATAGATAGTGATCACCAGAAAGTTTTGCCCCGAAAAAAGCAAATATTGGACAACATATTCAAACATTCTACAATTTACCCACTTAATCAGATCCCAATAGCAACAAGGTTTCCATTAAAAATAAAAAAAAATAAAAAAGAAAAAGCAACAAGGTTTTGTCTTTTGTTTTGGCATTATTATCATACTATTATTATAGTTAATGTCAAACTTTATGAAGCATTCCCCACAAAGAGAAAGGTTAATAATAGCATTCAATTGCACGTGGACAACTCCTAATTAGGCTTTCCTTAGGCTTGCATTATATTTACCTTTGGCCCTATTAGAACTAATAATAGTAAACTCGCCCCAAATAATTCTTCATAATTATACGTTAATGGTTGGGCTACAAGCCAACAAAGTACCTTAAAACAATATATGGACCCACTTAACGCTACTTAATTTTATTATTGATAGCCAACTAAAAACTTTTTTAATATGATTAGACTAACTAACAATATAATGTTTTAAATGTTTTTTTCTGCATAGAGGAATGCAATAACGGAAAGAAGAAAAGAAAGGCAGAGGAAGATTCTTTTTTGGGTTGTAGTAGGTGTACAGAAAATGAGGTGGTCCAAAAACTCTACACTTGCAAGATTCCAGAACTCAGACCTACATTTATAAGCTTTGAACTGACACAGAACATGAGAACATGGATCAAATCATAATAATGATTAAGTTCAAGGATTGGTTTCTACCAGGAAAAAATAATAATAACTTTAAAAATCAAGGAATGGCCTACCGCCAATTGCTAGAAATATATATATACATATATAATCAAATCAAATATAACGGCTGCAAAACTTTGAATACTATTGCTCAATAACATTAGTATAGTAATAAAGTCTTTTTCCAGAAAAAAAAAAAAAATGCCTTATTTCTACAGGTGAGTCAATTATTTCAAATTTAATTGTTTTTTTGGACGCATTCATTGCCAAGTTGATGATTTGACTATAAAGAGAAGGAAAATGATACATATTTCCTAGAAAATCTAAACAGATTGAACTGAAAGTAAGCAACTAATAATTAAAATAAGATCAAAGAAAGAAAGAATACTTATTTATTCACTCACCAGTGTCAAGATTTCCAATAATTGCATTTTCACCATATCTTGCTTTCTTCCAAAGTGAGCTTTTGGGAACAAAACCATTATGCTCTAGTCCCAAGAAATCCCATGAACGAGTTGTGTGTAATTTCCGTCCTTTGTTCAAGAAAACTGAGATTACTCTAGGATGATCTGTGTTTCAAATGAGAGAAATACAGAGAAATAAATAAATAAGTAAAGAAAACACCACAAACAAAACCAAAAAAAGAAAAAAAAAACAGAGGATTTTTTTTCATTATTATTTTTCTTTTTAAGCTTACTAGCAATCTCAGCAGCTACTTCTTCTTCTAAAGTTGCAGCAAAGCCATTGATGTGTCTTGTATAAGAGTAAAACAAGGCTTCTTTGGCAACTTCATGACTGTAAATATCAAACAGAAAAAAAGAGAGAGAAAAAAAAAAAACTTAAACATGGGAAATGGATAATGTTTTCGATATATTTGGTGTAAACAAAAAACAAAAAACAAAAAAAAAATTAAGTGGTAATTGTTTTTAAGTTCACAAACCTTCCCAAGAACGATCCAAGGAACTCATAGTGGGACTGAGTCACACGCTCCGAGTCAAGAAGTGGTGAGAAATCTGGGCCGTGAGAGTGCGCTCCCAAATACACCACATATGACTACAACAAAAAAATAAAAACAAAAACACAAATTAGATTTATTGGGAGTTGTTGTTTTCAGAGAACGAAATAACAAGCTAAGCATTAAAAATGAACCAAAAAAAGAAGAGAAAGAGGGCTTTTTTTGTCAAAGTCTTCAAATGAAGGAAAAAGAAAAGGAAATGTAAGATTGAACATTTGCTTGCTGACCTTTTTGATGGCAAAAGTGGGTGTTTGCAGTTGAAGAGAGGAAAGAAGAAACAATATTAATGGAAGGTAAACAGAGAGTTTTGGTTGCTTCCTCATAGCTATATTATTATTATTGCTTTTTGGTGTTTTGGTGTGTGTTTCTGTGTTCTGTTGAATCCAAACAACTATTAATATTTCTGCTTTCTTCTTGCTTTGAATCCTCTTGAATGGAATAGAGCCGGTAAGTTGTTGTGTTTTTTAATTTTTTTTTTTTTTTTTTTTTTTTTAAGAAAACTTTTTTTATATGCATTAAAGGATGTGTACTAGTGTGAAATATATATATATTACCCTTTTTTTTTCCCCTTAAGCTTTGTCTGATGAAAAGAATATAATATTCTTGCCGGTACTACAGACAAAGCTTAAGGGAAAAAAAAAGGGTAATATATATATATATAGTTCATTTTAAAACAACGTACTAAACGATGATATAATTGTCAAACTCTATATATTATATATTTGTTTAAGTTTTTATGTGATGATTTGATTGAGTTAGTACTTTTCACCTAAACTTTGATGATGTAAAATGAGTTCTTAACTGGAAGTTGGAAGTTAGACGTTATTTTTATACAATTAATTGCATTAAGAATGTTTAGTAAATTGTTTTTCAATGAGCCCCTCAAAGGCACTATCCTCGGTGAATAGTAGATGCTGAAGTGAAAAGGGAGGAGTAGCTAATAGGCGATCGAGTGAGAAAAAGACTCTCAAAGAAAAGTCTCCCACCATTGTAATCTTCAGCGCATCAAGTTGTCTGAGGATAATACCAATTGGGCAACCAGGAACTGACTCGTGGAAAGAGATTGATAACGTAATATTTTATTTGAGACTCATATCATCTGTTTTATTTTAATATTTTAAACCGTGTCTAACCAATCACAATATACTTCGTAATTTAAAATGTTTTAGAACTGATTTTTTTCATAATTTATTGTTCATTCGCATTAATGAAGTAATATAATGAGATTATTTAGACATCACTCTTTACAATAAAATTGTACAGATAATTTCATGGTTAGATACATAGAAATAGAAATGAGGGAGTATGGCTTGTGAAGGTAGGGACTCTGGGTAACACCAATTTGAGAGTCAAACATGTTTTAGAAAATAATGATCAATAAAATTGAATTACTTGAGAAGAATTATTGCATTGCACAAAATATGCTAAATATCATTTAAGGTTTAATTAAATTAATTACTCAAAGAAGGATATGCATTGACTTTTTTTTTCCCCTTTTCAAAAGAGTGATATGTATTGACTTCTGTCCATGTATTCGTGTGTTAAAAAGGGCTCGCAAATGCTTCAAATAGGGGAGGCCACTTGGGGAGTTTTTTTTTTTTTTTTTTTTTTTTTTTTAATCAATGATGTAAATTATATAAATGATTTATGATTAAGAGGTATGAGAACCTAAAATTTATTAATATTACGTTTTTGTTTTTTTTTTTTTAGAGTTGAACCTGGAACTCAATACATGAAAACAACTCATGTACTAAATACCGATTAAGTTGGCCTGGATTGGCGTTAAGAACCACCTTAAGTATGCATGGCATGCAAGAGAACATCTTAATCAAAAAAAGAAAACAATGCTGCAGAAACTTTATCCATCATCAACAAATTATAAAATCCAGTTGAAAAGATCGTTAGTTGGTAAATAAATATTGTTCGATAAAGTTGTTATCCCCCACCATATAAAATGCAATGTAGAAATAGAAGATACACAAAAAGGACATGATATTTAACACAGAAAAAGAAAGAAACAGGAAAACTGACATACCCAATACACTTTCATAAAGTTATAGCTCATTTCTCGCTTGGAATGTGAACAGCATAAGCCAAATTAAGTAAACGCAAAACAGGAAACAAAGGCCGTGTTTAGAATTAATCTCATTTTTATTTTTTACGTTTTTCAAGAAAGAAAAAATGAAAACATTTTCAAAACGGCGTTTTGCGCAATAAAGATAAAAAATGGAAATGAAAACGATTTTTTAGTTTAAAGTAAAATGAGAGAGAAATGAAAAACGACTTTTAGTCGTTTTTCATTTTCTCCTCTCTCGAGCAGAGAGAGAGAGAGAAAGAGAGATATTAATGAGTTTTTTTTAGACTGAAATCAATCTCTTGATAAAATTACCAAACGCATTTTTAAAAATGATTTTTGTCTAAGATTGAAAACATTTTCATTTTTATTTTCATACAAAAAATAAAATCATTTTAGAACGAGTTCCAAACGCGCTCAAAATTCCAAATAATGCCATCTTTTATATCTTTTCTTATTGAGCAAACTATAAACACAGATAGAGCCATTCTAGGATTCAAATATTGGAGCTTAAAAGCTGGACCTTCACCTAAATTTGAACCGTTTCAAAGACCCAACATGCATCATTTTGTATTGGGCAACTTCACTAACTAATTGAAATGAACAGTTAGTCTACCATATTGTTTCTTAATATAAAGATAAAAAGAAATATTAATGATAGAAAGATGGCTCCAATTGAGGAGCACTACCAAAGTATTTCAAAGAAGATCAACTTAAATGGAGACTCTATTATTGCTCTGCTTAAATCAAATATAAAACTTAATACACTGTTTGTTACAAATAAAAGTTTTACTCTTTTATTGTTTTATATAAATCCCTTTGCGTCTAGCTTACATATAATTACGACTTATTTAGTATTTTATAACTTTTAATTTTCTGAGTTCATAAAAGAAAAAAAAAAAATACCTTACATTTTGACCGTTCTTGCAAGTACCTTCAAATTTCAAATTCAAAAGAAATTCATATTTTTTCTGCATCAACAATTGTTCATAAAAGAAAAAAAAAATACCTTACATTTTGACCGTTCTTGCGAGTACCTTCAAATTTCAAATTCAAAAGAAATTCATATTTTTTCTGCATCAACAATTGTTTTTTTTACATCTGAATTGACGAATTTACTCTTTGCATGTGATAATTGCAATATATACGTAACCAAACATGAAATTAAGTTTAGCACAACGTCCCCAAATTTCAATTTATATCAACCGTTCCTCAACTTTCAAAGTCATTTAATAAGTTTAGTTTTTCTACCTTCGTTAAGCTTTCTCCCTTTATTTAATGTTGACCTGGAAAAGGTACAAATTTAATATTAATATGAATGTTGAAGATATAATTTTGAGAATATCCACGCAAAAAAAAAAAACCACATCAAACTAAGGTTTTGTTCATTTCACCAATTCGAGTTTAGCTACAGTAAAAAGTTATCAGAAACAGTTATATCTAACTTTTTTACTACAGTAAATTTTTTTTACATAAAGTCATATATCAACTCAAATTAAAAACTTAAATCAGCGAACTAAACGGGTCTTAAAAATATATATATAATGAATAGTTATTTTTATCGAGATCTAATAATTAAAAAAAATTACTGATAATTTATTTTTAAGACACAGGTAAAAAAAAAAAAAAAAAAAAAAAAAAAAAACTCGAAGCTTAGCAACATAAACATATTTGGGAAAAGGTTTCTAAGAAGATTGTCCTGTTTCCTACCATATGAGCATGTGATGATTAGTACTTGGAAGGCGAAGTAGGGAAAATGCCATACAGCTTGCACTATATATCACCTTATAAAACGCACTTTTCCACTTTAGAGACTTTTTCTAACACTTGTTGAAACTATGCATGTTCACGAGTGCTTGCTTGTAAAGGAATTGTCGGGAAAAGCGTTACTAACAAATAATTCAATAAATAATATATGTACATGAGAGTGATAAAAAAGAACGTGCATGAAAAGGGGCTGGGCTTTGGTTGAAGCTTAACCCTGACTTTATAATAAATTAAACGCATTGGTTTTGTAGGTTTAACCGCAGCTTAAACTTTTTTATTATAATATTATCTCTCAAAAAAATTAAATTTTTATTTAAATTTACGAAACAAACGAGCTATTATGTATATTGGATGTAAAAAACTACACAAGGTTAGGATTTGTGTTGGGTAAGGATTAGTGTTATTTTACTGTTGATCTTACTTTGACCGCCTAACAAAATGACTAATTTACCCTCTCTCTGTTGCTTTAAGATTTTTGTATGTCAAAATGACCAATTCGCCCCCTCCCACTCCTCCATCATTCTCTCTCTCTGTCCAAATTGTCTCTTTCTTCTCTGCCTCTCTCTATGCACCGCCAACAACAACATTATCATGGCGTTCCATCCTCGAGTGTCAGCATCAACTTTGAGTCGATGAAGGATATCTCGTTGATCGGAAACAATGACGATGGTCGAAGAAAAGAGATCTGGGTAGATAAAGAAAATCTTGTTGATTCAACATGCGGAGCCTTGGGTTTTATTAGTTGGGATCCTCTTACATGATTGACATTGACGGTGGCGTTAAAGGGAAATGCTCGATGGATGTTAGCACGCGAGATGGTGCAACGTCGGAATCGAGGTAGCATGTGGTGTCAACAGTGGGTAGCAGCGATGGTGATGCGTGGACGAGATGATGATGGCTTGTAGTAGTGATCGTTGGATGATGATAGTTAGGGTTTTCTTGAGTTTTCTATAATTGTAATCCAATGATATGTTGCAGTCTGATATATATATATATATATATATACATATATTATATTTTTTCTTTCTAATTGTTTTGGATCTTTTTGTTGACGTATTTTTTTTTTGGATTTCAAAAATGATATGGTAGATTGATGGTGTCAATCTGCCAGATTACTCTGGCGACCAACGATTTGGCACTAGAGAAGACTGGTGTTGTGTGATTAGTTGAAATTATCTGGTAGATTATTGGTGATAAGCGAGTGGATTACTTTTTGGTGCCAAATGAAAAAAAGTGCTAATGTATAAAGAAAAAAACATAGTTTGCCATGATTTGTACAGACTTATTATTTATGTTATTTTAAATAATTAAGTACTATTGTGCTAATATATATTTATTGAAAAGGTTAAAATAATCTAGTAGATTTCCCTTCCTTGTAAATCAATTAGTCACTCTCCAATGACTAGCAACCTGTTACGTGCGGTGGTCACTATTGATTAGAGGGCAATTTTAAAAAATAACTTTTGAAATGGAGCCTTATTTTATTTCTACTCCTTAGTATTAGCTCATATATTTTTACCTTTTAAATTAGAACTAGTCAAAGGTAGAGTTTTTTAAAATTGGTACTTTTCAGTAAGTCAGGTATTTAAAAACGTAAAATCTGCAATTTTCTCTTGATTTATAAGCTATCGAATTACAAGGTTCAAATTTGAACGTGATCTTTAAAGTTGAAATTAACATACTTGTTTCCCTAAAACTTTGTGGCGTATGTTATTTTGTCTCTGAACTTGAAAAGTGCGAAATTAATTTATTAAACCCAAAATAATAAATGAAAATCATCGAAGGATTCTACTTCTGTCACAAAATTATCCATTGGAATTTCGGACAGAAAATTGTCAGGAAAGTGTTATTGGAATACATTGTTGTTATATTTTAGAGATCAGTTTGGCGCTTTTTCGAGTCTAGGGAATAGAATGGGACATGACGAACTAAGACCTAAACCCAAAGTTCACGGGCGTAAAAACGTTTTGTACCAGGAAATGAAACTTTTTTTTTTTTTTTTTTTTAAGAACTATATACACATGTGGGAGAACATCTATGCACAGTTAATAATGAGCAAGATATGTATACTTGTATGTTTTCTTGTTTGAAAGGAATGTATACTTGTATGTTAGTAGAGAAATATCAACATCACCATTTTTGTTATTTTTTTTTATTACTCTTTGTATTTATTATTTGACATGTAAACTCTACCATCACATTTTTTGTTCGAATAATAATATGTTATATTAATAAAATTCACAGATAAAACAGTAAATGCTGAAAATGATGTAAATAGTGATACTGTAATTTTTTTTTCTCATGTTAGTGAGCCCAAAAAGGACCAATGAGAGAAGCCGTTAGAGAACCATCCAATTCCAAGGCTGTAATTTGTCTCATGCAGTGGCTTTGGTGCATTGTGTGGTTGCCAATGCATGAAAAGAACCAATTAATCCCCATTATCCCCAGCTAATTCTGAGATGTACACTATTTATTTATTTTAGATCATGAACAAAAGGGATCCAGGCGTTGTGAGTTGTCCTGTCTCTCATCCTCAAATCCTAAGGCCAAACAATGTAACAGTGCATGGTCTAATTCTATTTGAAGGATGAGCTTAGTTTCATCCTTACTATCACGAGCTCAACGCCGTACAACTCAATGACAGAACAAGAATTAAAAAATAATAATAATAATAAAATATCGAATTTTAAACTCATCGTATTTGAAATGTGAGACCACCTTATTAATGTTGGACACTATTTATTTATAAGATTAATCTGATATCTGAATTTTACCTCTAATCTCTGTAAATTTTAAAGTGTTCCATTTTTATTCCTTAATATATTATTTTGTGACAGTTTTGATATATCCGTTAACTAAGTGTTAAATATTTGACGGAATTTGCAAAAATTAGGGATTAAAATTAAAAAAATATCTAAAGTTTAAAGAATGAAACAATATGAAAAGAAAAGAAAAATAATTTCCATAAATATTATCTAAACTTTAGATGTTTCTAATTTTGTTCCTAATTTTTATGAATTCTTTTAAATATTCAACAGAGTAATAGTAAAAATAAAACATTTTAAAAGTTACAAACTAAAATGAGATTAAGAGTTAAACTTAGAGATTAACCCTTGTTTATACCATCACAATTTGTCCAAGAAGAGTATTTTTAGCACTTTCTCATCAATACATTCTTTATTCTTTGAGAAATACTAGCATCACTTTTTCTGTCACTCTCTGCATTTACTATTTGACACGTGAACTCTATTAACATGACATATTATTATTTAAACATAAAATGAAATAGTAGAATCTATATATTAAATAGTAAATGCAGAGATTAACAAAGAAAGTAATAATACTCTTTTTCATTTATCTTTTTTAATTAAGTGGAAGGGAGTATAAAACAAAACATCTATTATGCACATATGTATTGTTTCTTTGAAAAGTTAAGAGAGACCAAGTGAGCTGTTATTAGCACATCAATTAACTGGAAAAGAAATAAATAAAAAGAAAAAAAATCTCTGCCGTCTGCTTGAAGTCGCATCTCATCACAACGTTTCCGTCTGGATTTTCTGCTGTCTTTGCCTAAAATCATCTTACTCCCACCATTTCTATATATATATATATATAAAACACAATTCACCAAATTCATCTGTTACTTTGTAAATTTCATTTCTCTATAATGATTGGGAGAGAAGATGAGGTAATTTGTGAATAGAAAGAAAGAGCGGATGATGATGTTGAACGTCGTTAATACATCATTTACAATATCTTCTAGTGTCATATAATGTGCGTGTGTGTGAATATTTGTAGCTTCATAATATTGGTAAGTCATGTTTGAGCTAATCTTGTTCATTTCTGTTTAGAGCAGTTAAAGGTCAAATATTTACTTTAGCTAATTATTAAGTTGGTGAGAGAATGGCTATTGGTGCTTTTGTTAATTTGAATATGCCAATTAAATAGCTAATATTTGAGGTCTCTATGGTTATGGAGTTGTTGATGATATTATAGTTTTAACTAAATCATTGCTTAGGATGAGTAGAACACTGAATTTTGCTATAATTAAATTCCTTGTCTTGAACATTAGTTACTCTTTCCTCTGAATATGTATCTCAGTTTATTATTACGTATAGTTCAATTTTAATGACTAATTTATTTAACGGTCGAATGAACATTAGAATAACTTAACATTTTATCTTTATTTGTCTTCTAGCACATAAAGGAAAACACAATGGGTTCCCATAAGCTCTGTGCAGAAGAACCCCACGTGTGGGTCCCTCAAGGTCGGAGTTTAGCATCATGTTGATCATGAGCCATCCCTTGTATCTGGCATACATTCTTGGGAATGAATTAATTTGCCTGGCTCCCTGGATGCCATCTAAGAAAGTGGTCAAAAGAGTATTTGACCTTTTCTAGTTGGCATCACGGGAGTCATGCAGGTTTTACTCCCATTCCTTGTTACCATTTTAGCTCCAATTCTCTCTATCTCATGTTTCTTTTCATAATGTCTAACTCTTATTTTTTCCCACCTTTATGTAAACTGTCTGCATATATGCATATTTTTCAAGCGTGCGTTTCCCTCTTCATTTCCATTTCCTTTTGTAGAAGCCCAAAAGTGAGTGCAAGGAATGAGCGTGCACGTTATTTCAACTTCAAATGCGTGATATTCACGATGTATTTATGTACGGTCCGTTCAGTTCGCTGATTCGAGTTTAGAATTCGAGTTTAGATGTGACTTTATGTGAGAACTTTTTACTGTAGCAAAAAAATTAAATGTGATTGTTTGTGAGAGCTTTTTACTGTAAAAAAACTCAAATTCTAAACTCGAATCCGCGAAGTGAACGGAACCTGTAACGAAGATTCAACTCTCTTATGTCATAGGAGGACAATCTAACAGGCATCATCAGAAGTCAGGACCATCATTGCTTCAAGAAATTTGCTTACATCTATATGCAACAAAACATGTTTTACCTTTTGGAATGTCCTTAGTAATTAGTCCCCTATAAGGTACATGTACTGGACTGATATTTACATTCACTTGGAGTTTTTAGCACAATTACCCTATAAGCTACTCAATAATTCTACTTTTTTTTTTTTTGTTGATAATATTGTCTTAGTTTTTCAATAAATTAGTCTTCAACACTTTGAATATTCCTTTCACTCTTCCTACGGTAGGTGTACCTTTCAGTATTGCACATTTCACTGATATTAATCAAAAGCAAGTTAAATTAAATGAAAAAGAGTTAGCCAAACTAAATAGAACATATTAGAATACGGATTCTCAGATTCCGTTTGTTCTTAATTTCTTTTCTTTTTCTCTTCAAAAGGAGCAAATCTTTCATTTTATTTTGGTTCGTTATACAAATCCCATCTCTGGTTACACACAGCTTTATCTTATAAGGAGAAAATCTAATGGCAAAAAATATCCTAATTATATCACATTATAAAACAACCCCAAGCTTTAAAAAAAAAAAAAAAACACTCACTTATCTTTTCCTTTATAAATACAAAAAACTCCAACAATTTTCCTTTATTATTGAAAAAAAAAAAGAGAAAGGCAATGAGAAATTCCCTAAAATATATATATATATATATATATACATTTTTTTCTTCAGAACACTAGCCCCCCTAACTAATTCCTCATCTGGGCATATACTCAAACACATGGCTTGCACCGGTTCCCAAGCAATCCACCAGCCATTTTCTTCCCAATTCCGAGCACAACCCATTTTTCCTCTCCATATCCAAAACTCCCAAATTGTCGTCTCTTCACTAAATCACATGATGGAACAAGGCGGATCGTATTGGGGCTGAACATACGACACACAACCATGATCAGGGACTTGGTAATAGCAATGCATAGGTGTCGTATAAGGCCAAATCAACTTCTGGGCAGCCTCCAACTCTTTCTTCATCTCCTCTTCCTTCTTCTTCTCAGCCTCCTTCTTCTCGTCGACGGCGGTCACGCTCACAACTTCTGCGTATTTAAGGCTCTTACGCAGCAGAGTCGCCAGACAAACGACGTCGATTCCCTCCCCTGTTACTTCTATCTGGTCCTTGTCTGCCTGCAGAGCTGCTTGTGTCACGCCTGCATCCAAAAAAAAAAAAATCTGCTTTTAGAAAATATTGCGAGCAATATTCTAGTGGAAAATACAAATTTTATTAAAGTTTAACATTTTATGAAGATTCAGCCTTAGCTAATTTTGTTTTCATGTATGTATGTCTATAGAATATCCCAAAACTTCTGGTTAAGTTTTAACCGAAAAATAGATTTTTCAGTAGTTTATCTACTTTTTTTTAAAAGTCCTATTAGAGAAATTTGTATAATTTTTTTTTTTTGAAAAATATATTTTTTTGTTTTACTTGGTACCCATGATCTAGTATTGTAGATTAAACTCCGGATTTAGTAGTATAATTATATTTTTTTTAAAAAAACATTCAGATTTTAAGTGTTACTAGAGGTGGATTTTGTGTTTAATTACCATCAACGCCAACGGCAGTTTTTATGGCCTTGGTGCGAGACTTCCGGTCATTTAGTGAGACCTTGATGACCACCTTTTGCTGCAATTTAAAATAAAATAAAATAAAAAATCAGAAACAAGGTAAACAGAGTTTGAGTGATAATATAGGGAAAAAAAATCAGAAATTAAATATGATGGGCAGAATTCCAATGATAACAATTAAGAAAGATTCAGACTTTTGCACTTGTAGTTTAGTTCAATTCACACCTTCGTCATTCTTTTGATTATAAATTTCCTGAGGATATATGAAGAGAAGATGATAAGGGAGAAAATTTCTCTTTTTGAGGATTTGATACTTGGGTG